TGCTCTCTCTTTCTAGTCCCTGTCAGGACTCTTGCTGCAGCGTTTTGGATCAATTGAAGCCTTTTCAGGGAGTTTTTAGGACATCCTGATAATAATGAATTACAGTAGTCCCACCTGGAAGTAATAAATGCATGAACTAGTTTGAGGAGATGCTCAGAGAGGAGTTAAAGAAAGGAATCGAGGATGTGCAGTTGACAGAGGAGGTGCTGTGGTGATTGTTCTTCCTGTTGTGCTTCATGGACCATCGTGTTTGCAAGAAATCAACTGTTTGATTAGCCATTCTTTGAAAGTGTGGACATACAATTTATATAAACTGTATGGATCCCACATTATGGAAATTCCCTTGTTACAGAAGCAGAGGAAGAAGCGATAGGAAGAGAAAGTGAATTAGAGATATGATAGAAAAAATGGAAAAATGAATCGTATACACTGTGATTGTTTATATGTACAGAAAGTGCAGTGGAAGTAATAATGAGAATACACATGTATTTTTTTAGACTGTATAAATGGTGTGTGCTGTACATACAATACACATATCATAGATGGCAGTATTTGAGATGGATGTCAGCAGCTGTAAGGCTGTATTTTTCATTATTTTATTTATTTTGTTGATCGCATAAATTGCCTAAAGGTTTTTTTGCTTTTTGTTTTTTGGTTGTTTTTGTGTTTTTTTTAAAAACAACCTTTTGTTTCATTCAAAATTTCAAAAATAAATAAATACTCACAACTTTATTAACAGCAACCCACTACACATATTTACAGTAAAATGCGGTATTTGCATTGTACATTCAAAAATCACAAATTATTAAGTGTTGCCATGGTTATTTCAGTTGTTTTGCATGCTGAGGATATATTTTGCTGTTTCCGTTGTTTGAATGTTCGTGTGAGTCGGTCAGGATGAGGACATGTATTTATATTTAACAGTAACAAGCTGTTTGTGGAGATTAAATTAGAAACACTAAAATTAAAGCAAAATGGTGGTAGATACTGTAATTACTGTAAAAATCCTCTGTGGTTATGTGTTTAGCAACATTTGTGCTGTTTCACCAGCTGAAATTTGACTTTTAAAGTATTTTTCACAGCAACATAGAATAGATTCCACCATCATGCCTGATTATAGATTTGTTATGAGACATATGTGACTTAAGAATGGACAAAAGGAAACTGTATGTGGGAGAAAGTAGTAAATAATTTTAGAAATTAAACACATTTGTTGAAGACCTCTGATGCCCTCTGAGTGCAGTAGCTTTTAATGAGTTTCCAGCCCTGCAGAGGACTCTTTTCTAGTTCCTATTTCTGCACCTAATCATGCTGTAAAGTGAGGTTTTTGTGACCCAGGTGAGCAAATATTGTCTCTTAGTCTAAACCCGTTTGGCTGCTGCTCTGCTGAGATTCCAGCAGGAATAGCAGCTGTAAAACTGAGGCAGCCTCTGGGAAAAC